CAAGTTTTTTTGATTTTTACGATAGAAAGAAGCATCGAAAATTTTCAGGGAACACATATTCCTGATCGCCGTAAAATTCTCTATCGAATGGTGTCTGAAACATCGAAAAAAAATTTTTTTGCTCGAACCTTGCTTTGCGTGCACCTTACAATGTAAAAACAAAGAAGCTGTTCACTTGTTAATAGATCAATGCTATACAACAAAATTATCCAACCACTGACCAGTTATTAATTCGACTGCATACACGCGTTCACTTGGTGATGTAGCAGCTGTTGAATGCAGATTGAATATCGATTCTTCCAATACTTACCCAACTTTATTCTATCAGCTTTGGTGAACATTGTTAAAAAAGATATGACAGTGTCAAAAAGTTTCCGAAAGTCTGACATTTCCTGTTCCAGCTCTATTTTTTAGATTATCCTTTCGGCTATCCTACCTATATCTTTCAGCTAGAATGTCTTTAAAAGACGAATTCTGCAGTGCGGAGTCTAATCAGAAGAAATGAAGCTCGCTTTTGGTGCAGTCTTGTTTTACAGCGTCGTAACAGCGTATAGTGTCACAATTCACTGGTCTGTACCAAGTATTACCAGTTTTAATGTCGACATTTATACAACCACTGACGATGGCATTTATCCTGTAATAATTTTTATGACCGGTTTCGAAGGTCTCGTTCCGGCTTCGTTCTATTCAAATCTATTAACAAAAATTGCTGATCAAAAAATTATTGTTATCGCTGTAAGTCAAATACAAAATATAACAGCTGAGTATGTTGAGAAAAAATTTACCCAATTTATGGTATTTATTACGAATCCAACGAAGGGGGCGAAAAAATTGTTTAAAAATAATCCACTAACAAAAACTGTCATACCTGACATTGAAAATCAATTAGCATTTCTTGCACATTCAGCTGGATGTCATGTACTCACCTTGTATTTAACTAAACGCTGTGGTACAAAAAATGCTCAAGTAAAGCTTTTTGTTATGATGGATCCCGTTGATGGTAGGAGTCCATATGATACAAGTGGAGAAGGTGGGTATTATACTGTTGTCAAAGGCATATACGCGCAATATAAAATCTTTTAGGGTACGTCACTCATCCTCCCGCAAAGTTATCATTCAATACGTCTGTATTGATAATGAGTACTGGCCTGGATGCCAGAGCTGCGTACCCTGGAGAACCAGCATGCGCACCCGACAGTATGAGCAATAATCGATTTTATCAATGTTTATCAGGACCAAAATGGCTATTAAATTTTACTAATTATGGCCATGCTGATATGCTTGATGAGCCGGCAAGAGTTGGCAATAATATTATTTGTTCAACATGTTCACAGTTGCCTATTGCGACTACGTGCAACTATGAAAAATTTAGACAAGATGAAGCAAATGCTATTGTTAATTTTACACAAGGGATTTTGAATGGTATCAATGGACAGCAACAATTACAGTTCCTTCAACAACCACAACTCTATTTCAGTAGTCGTGTAACAATAAAACCGAATATACAAGAAGTCAAACCATCAAATGGTTTTTGTCAGCATTATCCATAAACCAGCTTCTCATTAACATTTCTATTTGACCATTGTCTCTAATTCTTTTTCTTTGCGCCAGAAGAGCAACGACTGTCAGGAACAACTGATTACAGTATATTCTTAATAGTCAATCAGAAACACAGAAGTTGTAGAAGTGTATTTGTATTTGATATTGGATGGCACCAACTGCATTTACGTTTTTAGAATTTACTGTTTAATCGTGCGTAAATCGTGATATTCCTTTTAGTGCATCTAAGTGCTCGAATAATTTTTGGAAGGTTACAGAGAAGACTTATTGGTTGGTAATCATTTGAATGTTTTTTTCTATTTTATCGTTCTATTTTTTTCAAAATATGATCAACCTTTGAGACGCATTACATGACAAATAAAATAAACATTTGAGAAAACGAACTTCAGATGTTTCATTGACAGTATTCTCCTCTATTAATCAACACAATGTATTTTATGGAGCTTTTGAACAAAATCTTGAGTGCCAAAGACTAGCTTACGAGATAACGCACTTATCCTATTACTCATATTTAGTTTAATGGCACAATATTAGTGTCAACACTTTATATATAGTTTTGTCGAATATTCAAACACACTAGAATCTTTCTCTACCTTTCCCTAAAAATAAATAGATTTTACACAAGAAGTCACAAAAATAATAAACATAAACCCACAAATATGTATTAGCCTTTGAAACAGCTAACTGTAATTAATGATTACCTTCTTGTTTCTTTGCTCATCAAATGAGACAATTTACATCAAAGCTTATTGTTACTATTGTTATTCCCCAGTCTTTTTAATTAATAGAATGACAAAAACAAAAAAAGAACTTACTTTTCAGGCAAAATCATTCATCATCGCTTTGGTAAGTCTAATAATAGAAAAAGGAACGAATATTATTTCAGAGAAACCAAAAAAACTGTTGTTTAAAGAAAATTTATAAGCGATGGGGTTACAGGGTTCGTACTATCCACTTTCAAAAACCAGGAACATCACAAAAACCAGGATTTATCACAGTGTGCTAAATAATGTATTGCTAAATAAACTAAAAATTCAGTTGACGTTATTTAAAAAATTTTACACAGCATTCAACCATAGTCATAGATAATCGAAGCTTATATCTCTCTTTATTTATCCGTCCAGTATTAATATTGTTGTTTTTTTTCATCTTCCTCTTTTTCTATACGTACAACAGAGACGGGTGGAACCAGCCTTTTTTGGTTCCGTAGAGAATTTTGGCCATAGAATATGAAACATTTTTCCCCTGCTAGCGGAAAGTTCAATGCGGCTTTTTACTATTGCACCCCAGATAAAGAAAAAAAAGTGGTTGACTAGTGTCCGGACTAGTCTGGAAAACGACAATATTTTAGAAATGTCCGAGGGTACATTCAGACGTACTCACTAACGCCAGTTAAAGACAAAGAGGTCCAAAAAGTTAAAATGACGCCCATCCGGTCGCGTGACCTGTGTATAGTCAAGACTATGGTGACGGTCGTGCCGTTGCAATACGTAAGGTTCTTACGTAAAACTTGATCGACTCTCCTGCAAAAAAATCGCAGCACAGTAAACGGGCGGCACTACCAATGCGCTCGGGATACTATGTTGCACGGGTACGCACTAGTTTCACATTTTTCCAGTCACCGTTTTGTTATCTACGACTGATTCCACTATGTTTTACTCGAACTTTTCTTTGAGAACATAGTGCAATCAAATTTTAACGCGTTCGCAGTGCAGATAATGCTTTTGTCATGTTATAATCTCCATCTGAAACGGAAAAATCAGTATGAGTCAGATGGTAAATTCAGAGGATGTGCACAGCAAATTCAGCTCTCTGTCCGCTTATCTAAGTAGGTCTCATTTTCGCTAGTACAATGAAGTGCCTCATATGGCAGACACTATTTTTCGTCTTCATTTAAAATGAGAGAAAAACGTTGGTATCGTCAATACACGTGGCAAGAGTGTATATATATTATGTACGTTGATATCACGTGGATAAGCACGTGAAGCAATCCATCCTGTTCTAACCAACGTTTTTTTCTCATTTTAAACGAGACAAAAAACAGTATCTGTTATATAAGGCACTTTATTTCTTAAAGTAGACTACTTTTATACTCGAACTTTTTGCAGTTTATATCTGCTTTTTGAACATTTTTAAAGTAGAACCAAATCATTAAAATAACCAGTTTACACAGTATGTATACAGCAGTTGCAGTTAGTGAGAGAATAGGAATATAGAAAATCCTTTCTATTTTACTGTCACACAGTTGCAATTTTTCTGCATTCATGTTGGGTATCAAAAACGGTTCTTCTTTCTCATGAAACACACCAAATATAGGGCTTTCTCAGTGTATAGACTCAGTTAATATTTGCTGTGTAAAGATCTCAGAATAAAACTGCACAGAAGTGAGAAATGCATGAAAGGTTCAGGTTATAACAATTATCAGTATCCTCGGTGTAATATCGCTTTACTGTTAGTGACTCTAAGGATGTACCGATGATCAGTTCGGTTCTGTTTGACCCACAGAGGATTGGGGCTCAGCCATTCTATCTCATTCGCAAAATATTAGATCTGATAACAAACTGATTCTAGCGATAATATCTACGGATTCTCCGAAGGTCCAAGAGTGAATGTTTTCTTCACATATGGCAAACGTTACCTTACGGTAAAACTCACAGGCGAACATTTGTAAATTGTAAAACATTTAACCGCTCTCACTTTTATTCTGAGATCAAATGCCAGTTATATGGCAAACCATAATTGAAAAATACATGAGAAAAACCTATCAATATAGTTCTAATGACAAGTAGAAAGGATTTAGACAAAGAGAGGGCGTCTTAATAAAACTACTGTGTACAAGTTTGATCTCAACTCCAAAGTGAGTTTAAGGTGAATGACTGACCCTGACTGCATTATGTTCCCAAAGAAAAAATCGAGTAAAATATGGTGAAATCAGCTTCTCGGCTACCTCAAGAAATATTCCTTTTGAGAGACCATTTTATATCAAAATCCGATAGTGTAACATTGTGACTAGAGAAAATGTGATCTATTTAGATAAGGGGACAGAGAACTGAATTTGCTGTGCACATCCTCTGAATTTACCATCTGACTCATACTGATTTTTCCGTTTCAGATGGAGATTATAACATGACAAAAGCATTATCTGCACTGCGAACGCGTTAAAATTTGATTGCACTAGCACCCGGTTGTAAAAGAAGGATTATATGTGGATTTCTTTCGTGCTTGTTATTTTCCGTCGGTTCGTTTTGTTTTTCATGTTGATCAGCGTCATGGAATCGTCGACGAAGATCATCAATATTTTCGTCGATGCTTCTGGTTGGCGTAGATTTTCTTTTGATTTAAATAGCAGTCCATGAGTATTCCGGCAGATTTTGCTGTGTGTTCGTTAACGGTTTTCCATTCATTTGCTGCTTTGTAATCTTTCACTGCACGTCTAACTTTGTCTTGGACATTTTTAGAAAAGTCATAATAACCTAAACCGTTCAGATCGTTTTCAGCGATAGCATCAATTACTTCTCCAGCGCATTTGGCAACATACAGTGCACCGGCAATACGATTAATCTGAACCTTGGCTTTTGCATAAATAGACGTCAAAAATGAATCGTATTCCAATGATTCTCGTTGAAACAGAACGTAATGATCCCATTTCTCATTTAAAACGGCTAACGCTTTAGTTGAATACATGTACATAATACGATCAGTAAAGTATTGCGTTTCAGTTGTTATGATTGGTTCTTTTTCACTGCTGTTGAATAAGCGGATTGCCCATAATAGATGTGTTAAGCTTGGCTCATCGATATTTATCTGTTTGATTTCGTTTGCTAATGGAATCGACGGTTTTGGAGCTGCCATAAGAAACCGACCAAAAAGACCATCCCCGTTACTATCATTCTTAAATGGACGATCCCAAAGACGATACCTATAGCATGTTCAGTCTCCAGACTACTATTGCGTACTACGTCCACAGCTGAAGTTTTGTTTGATCCAGGATAACCTACTATGACAGTGTAGAAACTAATGTTGGTAGCGATTCCTCATGAGGTCAACAATTGAGATGTGCCTGCTTGATGTCCTATCGCAGGTAAAAGTAACGTAAATATATACTCAACCGGAAGCTGATAAGCGCTAGCAATATTATTGATTATGCCAGCCGTTGTTCTGTCTAAGATATCATTGATGTTCGGTTTGTCATTTGCCGCTTTGCGCATAATATCTCGTATTTCTCGCGTTGTAAGACTTTTACTAACCATTTTTGATAATTAACAACGCAGTATAAATGTGCCAAATTTGATAATATATGTATCGAAAAATTCCGGTTTATTTTCCAATTCAGAATATACTACTACGTGAACACCAACATTTATATACGTTTTTTAGAACCGACCACGCAACAGAATATGGCATCATGTAATAGTACCGTAACTTTGCACAGATAGCCTTCCGATCA